TCAGGTGAGCTCATTGTGAAACCTGGCCCCACCATATTATGTGATTTCCTGAGGTCAGATTGCACCCCATCCTTCCTGCATCCTTTGCACTATTAAATGGAGGCACACACAGTAATTTTAGACATGAAGCACTTTAAAGTTTACTTCAGCTCCTCCCACTATCCAGTTACAGTTTACACGGATCATAACCCAGTGGTTTCTGTTAATCAGATCCGTAACTCAAACCAGTGGCTGATGCATTGAGTTTATTAAGTACAGGCTGACTAGGAGTTGTGAGTATCTACATTCCTGACTAATGCAAATATCTTTATCTAGGCCTCCAACTTTCCCTCATCCAATGCCTGAAACTAGTCCAGAATGCCGCAGCACGTCTTTTAAGCGGCACCAGAAGACATGAGCATAATACACCCGTCCTCGCTAACCTTCACTGGCTCCCCGTCAAATACCGTATAGTTTTTAAAAACCTTTTATACACTTTTAAAATTTTAAATAACTTGGCGCCCAGCAACTTAATCAACCTCCTTGACCCTTACACCCCCAAGAGAGCATTTAGATCCTCTAAACAGGGGGCTCTTAGTGCAACCAATTTCTCGACGGAAGACTAGGGGTGATCGTGCTTTTGCTTTTGCCGCACCAAAACTTTGGAACAGCTTGCCGATTGATGTCCGTGCGTCGGAATCCATTCAATCCTTAAAATCACGTTTAAAAACCCACCTGTTTAAGCTAGCCTTCTAGACAAATTAGATTTTAACTTTTCCCCGGTTTGCGCTTGTGCCACGCCACCATCTGTAATGATAACTGTATTTTCTTTGCTCCTTTATTATTGTAACCCTGCAAATGTAGCTCGTCTGTGAAGCACTTTTATGTACCTGGGTCTTTTAAATTTTAAGCAGGGGAACTGTTAAAATATCTATAAAATAGAAAGTCCTGAGCACTGGGGAACAAAGAAATAAGATATTTGTGACTTTGATGTGTACTTTCTGAATATTTCTGAATGCACTGCAAATTATGTCTTCATGTAATTCCTTCCTTGTGTTTTTGTTTAGTGGCATTTACTGTTTCACTGCTGAATTCTCATGCTAAACATGAGAGTTTGCAATAATGAAGTTGTTGTAAATATGAGTTATCCCTGTAAGCCACAAGCTCAGGCTCCACACCACTCTAAATGACTACTTTTGCTGACTTCCTTTGGTTTGACTCATGAACAACTAAACCATTGTGCAACATTTTGAATTCCTTTTCTGGTCACCCATGGATTCCTGTGAAATCTGCCAAAATTGACATGAAGGACGGGGAGTTTTCAAAATATTTGAAACCAGGTTTTCGATTAGTTACATAATTCACTTGGGATAGTGGAAATTTTTTTTATTTCTTCTTATGGGAGGATCTCCTGCCTATCGACATCTTTTCTTAAGAATCCATTTATTTCAGGAAACCGTTTTAAGCAAGCCACAGCGACTGTACTGCCAAAGGCACAACTGAATTGATGCATGATACAAATCTGTTTTCTTAGTTGATATATTTGTGAGACTTTCATCTTCATTGCTAGAGATTCCCAATTACATTTTTTTTCCAATCTAGTTTTAGTCATTTTCTTAGTTTTGGCCAAATTGACCTGCACTGTTAATCTGCTGCACTAATCCATTGTTGTAACGGGAAAGGGACAGTTAAAAAGACGCTTGAACTGCTGAACTCTTTTAAAGGTCCCTCCTTTCTGCCTTCACTGCTCAACCATGCGTCACAGAGGCTTAAAGGGGGTGCTGCTAAAACAGCTCGATTTAGAGAAAGAATGACTCGAGAAGCTGTATAAACTGTGAATCATGCACATTGATTCCAGCAGAATACAAGAAAAAAACAGAATGGAGCCAGAATGCATCAGCTTTAAAGCTGAAAGAGCCTTTCTGGGGGTTAACATTAAACATTAACTAGATGTACTAGATTTTAAAGCTGGAGCTGATAATAAGGTTGGTAAGTACATAATGTATTTAGTCAACCTTGGAAATCCAAAAGTTGCAAAGCAGTATTTGGAAATACTAATACTATTAGTTTACAGTGACATGATTGTGTTATCGATCCAGTTCAGCAGTAATGAACCAGTTATCAACTTTTAACAGTTTCACCTATGTTTGACCTTAATTCTGCCTAAAGACAAAGAAGAAATGAAGAAAGAAGATTACAAAATGTACTTCTTTTAAAATAAAATTCAAAGAAGTAAATGAAATTCAGTTATAACTATATGTAATGTAATACAGGAAATTGTGTCTTTCCAGCATTGACAAACACACACATGCCTAATCTTGCACTGAATCATATAGTGCAGTGGCAAGTAAAAAAGAGAAGGAGGAGTGCAAACTTTTAGAAGTGTCCTCGACCACAGTCGAAGTCTGACACAAACAAACAGCCTTTGTGTCAGGAGTTTCTTCGTAACCATACAAAAACCCCTAGATTACTCATTCTTCTATGCAGGGGTAAGTAAAATACTTCCACTTCTCCAGTTTATGTGATCTTTTATTATAGTTTTAGTTTATAGTTTATTTATTTATATAGCACATTTAAGCAGGAGCGTTGACCAAAGTGCTGTACAAGAATACAACATACCTAATAAAATAACTTAAGAGTATTTTTGGAATGTATAATACAGTACAATAAATCAGTAAGCAGTAGCGGTTTTAGATACGGGCGACACGGGCGGCATCGTGGTGGGAGGCGACATCACGGACATCGGCGTCAGTCAGCGCATATTGGGAATGACATACGCACCGATCGGTTTTCTATCGCCCATTTGCTGGGAGTAAGGGCGCCCT